TTAGATCAAAGTGGATCAAAGACTTAGGCACTAGACCAGAGACCCTGTGCCTAATAGAAGAAAAAGTAGGCCCAAATCGTCACCATGTCGGCCTAGGATCTGACTTCCTTCACAAAACTACTAAAGCATGAGAAGTAAAATCAAGGATCAATAAATGGGATGGATTCAGACTAAAAACCTTCTTCTCAGCAAAGAAAACAATCACTAATGTGAAGAGAGAGCGTACAGAATAGGAGAAAATCTTTACCACATGCACCTCAGATATAGCATCAATCTCCAGGATATTAATCTCCAGAATTCAAAAAATTTAACAACAACAAAAAAAAAAACCCAATCAATAAATGAGCTAAAGAACTGAACAGACACTCCACAGAAGAAGAAATACAATCCATCAACAAATATAAGAAAAAATGTTCAACATCTTTACAATTAGAGAAATGCAAATCAAAACTAAAATTTCATCTCACCCCGGTCAGAATGGCAATTATCAACAATACAAGCAACAATAAATGTTGGTGAGGATGTTGGGGGGAAAGGAGTGTACACTCATACATTGCTGGTGGAAATGTAAATTGGTGCAATTATTATGGAGAGTGGTATGGAGATTCCTCAGAAAACTTGGAATGGAACCACCATTTGACCGAGTATCCCACTTCTCAGTTTATACCCAAAGGACTTAAAATCAACACATTACAGTGATACAGCCACATGAATGTTTATAGCAGCTCAATTCACAATAGTTAAACTATGGAACCAACTAGGTGCCCTTCAACAGATGAATGAATTTTAAAAAGTTTCATATATATATTATTATGAAATAATACTATATATATAAAATGAAATATTATTCAGCCTTAAAGAAGAATGAAATTATGGCACTTGCTGGTAAATGGATAGAGTTGGAGAATATCATACTAAGAGAAATAAGCCAATCCCAAAAAACAAAGGCCAAATGTTCTGATAAGTGGCTGCTAATTCACATTGGAGCAGGGGGCTAGGGAAGAACAGAGTTACTTAGATTAGGTAGAGAGGAGTGAAGGGAGGAGAGGGGGTATGGGGTAGGAAAGTTAGTAAAATGAATCAGACATTATTACCCTATATACATGTATAACTATACGACCAGTGGAATTCTACATCATGTATGACCAGAAAAATGAGAAATTATACTCCATTACATATGATGTATCAAAGGGAATTCTACTATCATGTACAACTAATTAAAACAAATTTTTAAAAAGAAGATTATGGTTGGAGAACCAAGGCATTCTAATTTCAAAACCTACTACAAGGCTTCAATAATCAATAGATCAATAGATACTGACATAAAGATAAACATTGAAATTGGTACAGGTGCAATAGAATTAAAGTACAGAAATAAATCCATGTGTCTGATCAAGGATACTAAGACCATTCAGTGAGAAAAGAACCGTCTGAAATTTCAATAAACAATGCTTGCTCAACCTGATATCTACAAGCAAAAAAAAAAAAAAAAGAATGTGGACCCCTACCTCACAAAATACACAAAAATTAATCTAAAATGGATCAAATGCCTAAATACAAAAACTAAAACTACAAAACTCTTAGAAGAACCATCGGGGTAAATCTTCATGACTTTGGATTTGACCATGGTTTCTTGGATATGACACCAAAAACACAAGCAACAAAAGAAATAGGTGAATCAGACTTCATCAAAATTAAGAATCTTTTAGTTTGAAGACATAATTAGACATATGAAAAGGAAACCCATAGAATGGGAGAAATATTTGTTCCTCATCTATCTAGTAAGAGCCTAGTGTCCAGAATATATAAAGAACTTACCACTTTAACAACAAAAAAGATAAACAACTCAAAATGAGCAAAAGTCTTCAATAGACATTTTTACAGAGCAGGTTAAAAAAAATGGCCAAGACATTTCTTGTAGAAATAGATAAAGCAATCATGAAATTCATACGGAAAAACAAAAGACCCAGAATAGCAAAAACAATTCTAAGCAGGAAGTGTGAATCAGGCGGCATAGCGATACCAGATCTCAAACTATATTACAGAGCAATAGTAACAAAAACAGCATGGTACTGGTACCAAAACAGGCAGGTGGACCAATGGTACAGAATAGAGGACACAGAAACCAATCCACAAAACTACAACTACCTTATATTTGATAAAGGGGCTAAAAGCATGCAATGGAGGAAGGATAGCATCTTCAACAAATGGTGCTGGGAAAACTAGAAATCCATATGCAACAAAATGAAACTGAATCCCTTTCTCTCGCCATGCACAAAAGTTAACTCAAAATGGATCAAAGAGCTTGATATCAAATCAGAGACTCTGCACCTGATAGAAGAAAAAGTTGGCTCCGATCTACATATTGTGGGGTCGGGCTCCAAATTCCTCAATAGGACACCCATAGCACAAGAGTTAATAACTAGAATCAACAAATGGGATTTACTCAAACTAAAAAGTTTTTTCTCAGCAAGAGAAACAATAAGAGAGGTAAATAGGGAGCCTACATCCTGGGAACAAATTTCTACTCCTCACACTTCAGATAGAGCCCTAATATCCAGAGTATACAAAGAACTCAAAAAATTAAACAATAAGATAACAAATAACCCAATCAACAAATGGGCCAAGGACCCGAACAGACACTTCTCAGAGGAGGACATACAATCAATCAACAAGTACATGAAAAAATGCTCACCATCTCTAGCAGAGAAATGCAAATCAAAACCACCCTAAGATACCATCTCACTCCAGTAAGATTGGCAGCCATTATGAAGTCAAACAACAACAAGTGCTGGCGAGGATGTGGGGAAAAGGGTACTCTTGTACATTGCTGGTGGGACTGAAAATTGGTGCGGCCAATTTGGAAAGCAGTATGGAGATTCCTGGGAAAGCTGGGAATGGAACCACCATTTGACCCAGCTATTGCCCTTCTCTGACTATTCCCTGAAGACCTTAAAAGAGCGTACTACAGGGATACTGCCACATTGATATTCATAGCAGCACAATTCACAATAGCTAGACTGTGGAACCAACCCAGATGCCCTTCAATAGATGAATGGATAAAAAAAAATGTGACACTTATACACAATGGAGTATTACGCAGCACTAAAAAATGACAAAATCATGGAATTTGCAGGGAAATGGATGGCATTAGAGCAGATTATGCCAAGTGAAGCTAGCCAATCCCTAAAAAACAAATGCCAAATGTCTTCTTTGATATAATGAGAGCAACTAAGAACAGAGCAGGGAGGAAGAGCAAGAGGAAAAGATTAACATTAAACAGAGACATGAGGTGGGAGGGAAAAGGAGAGAAAAGGGAAATTTCATGAAAATGAAAGGAGACCCTCATTGTTATACAAAATTACATATAAGAGGTTGTGAGGGGAATGGGAAAAAAAAAACAAGGAGAGAATTAAATTACAGCAGATGGGATAGAGAGAGAAGATGGGAGGGGAGGGGAAGGGAGGGGGGATAGTAGAGGATAGGAAAGGTAGCAGAATACAACAGTTACTAATATGGCATTATGTAAAAATGTGGATGTATAACCGATGTGATTCTGCAATCTGTATACGGGGTAATAATGGGAGTTCATAACCCACTTGAATCTAAAGTATGAAATATGAGATGTCAAGAGCTATGTAATGTTTTGAACAACCAATAAAAATAAATAAATAAATAAAAATGTCCAGGAAAAACATGAAAAGATGCCAAATGTCATTAGGTGTTAGGGAAATTCCAATCACAACAATGAAATACATCACACCCCTAGAATGGCTATAATCAAACAGACAATAACAAGCTCTGATGAGAGTGTGGAGAAATTACCAGTGGAAATATAAAGTGTTGTAGCCACTGCGGAAAACCAGTTGGGCAGTTTCTCAATAAGTTAAACATGGAATTACCGTATGACCCAGCAAATATACGCCCAGGTATACATAGACCCCAAATGATTGAAAACAGATGTTCAAACAAAAAGCTGTACACAAATGTCCATAGTAACATTTTGCACAATAATCAAAAAGTGGGAACAACCTAATGTCCACCAGCTGATGAATGAAAAACTAAATATGGTATCCACATGATGAAATAGTCAGCCATAAAAAGAAATTGGTTACTGACACATGCTACAACATGAATGAGCCTTAAAAACTGGTAAGGGAAATTATGGTAAAGGAAAGGAGCCAGACACAAAAGGCCACATTTTGTCTAATTCCATGTATATGAAATGTTCAGAATACATAAAATACATAGAGAAATCCAGGCTCTCCGGAGAAGGGGAAATAGAGAATTACTGCTTAGTTGATACAGGGTTTCCTTTTGGAGTGATGGAAATGTTCTGGAACTATGGAGTGCTGCTGGTTGCATGACCTTGTAAATGAATTAAATGCCAATTTTAAAATGGCTACAATGGTAAATTTAATATGTGTGTATTTCACCACAATAAAAATAAAAGCCAGTGATATTGCTAGCTACTATTTTTAAACTGTATTTTTAAATCATTTGAGACATACAGAAAAGCTGAAAGAATGGTATGAAGAATGTTTATATACTCTTCATTCAGATTCCCTAAATATTATTATTTTATGACATTTGCTTTATCAGTTTCTCTCCTTCTCACTCTTCCTCCCCTACCCCCATGTCCCTTCTTTCCTTCCTCCACTTCCCATGCTCTGCAGACCTTTACATTTGGACAATTGTCCCACGAATGACCTTTATGTTTGTTAAAGACAAATTTTGTCCCAGTCAAGGACACCCCTAGCATCACACATTACATTTAGTCCTCATGTCTCTTCCATTTCTTTTAATTTGGAACTGTTGCTCAGTCTTTGTCATTCATGACCTTGATATTTTTGAAGAGACCACTTCCCTTATAGAATGTTCTTCAATTTGTGTTTGTCCTAAGTTTTCCCATAATTAGATTCGGTTTTGCATTTTTGCCAAAGACAGCATATAAATCGTGCCCCATCCTTCCCAGGGCACCATATCAGGAGGCACAGGATATCAGCTCAGGAGGCACAGGATATCAGCTCATCCATCATTGTGATGTTTAGGTCACTCATTGGTAAGGGGACCTTCCTGACCTCAACACTGTAAACTCACTACTTCTCACTTTGTAAATAAATAGGAATCTTATGGGGTGGGTATCTTACGGAGAGAGATTTTGAGACTATGTAGAAGTCCTATTTCTCATCAACCTCTCACTCCCTAGCATTAGCATGTATTCATATACCTCTTCAAACAACTTTTACTGTAGTTTTGACCAGTGATTTTCCCATTCCATAATTATTAATTCCTACCTGTATTCATAAGGAAGAGCTTTCCCTGTTCTCTTATTATGTATTCATTCACTGAATAAATATTTATAAATAAATATAGATAAATATTTATTCGGTGAATAAATAAATATCAAAGTCTGGATTCTTTCATTTTTTTATTACTGTCATTTATTTTTATGCCCAATTTGTCTCTGATTTGACCAATAAGAGCTCATTCATGCTGGCTCCTGTCCTTTTGACCCGTCCTGTAATTCTCCGAGTGTTCTTATTTATTGACACAACCAGATGTTCCAGGGTCATCTTGTGCTTTCTGTAACTCAAGACACTCTAATCAGCCAGGTCTTCAAGGAGTCCTAGTTCCCTTCAGTGAAAATTGGTATTTAGAAACCAAGGTCTGGCTTCATTGTGAAAACAATTACTAAAAAGACCAAAAACTGACTTTCTACTTGATGAAACTTTGGAAAACTTCATTAAAATGTTTTTGTTTGTTTGTTTGTTTTGTGGCACTGGGGATTAAGCCTTGGGCCTTGCACATTGTAGGCAAGTGCTCTACCAGTGAGCTACACACCCAGTCTCCTTGTTTGCTTTGTTCAATTGAACAGTGTATGAAAATATTGGAAATATTGCAATTTTTCCACAACCTTATACCAAATCTGTTTTTATTTTATTTTTTTTAAATCAATAATCAATGTTTTTATGAACGTTTACCTTCTGTCTTTGTCCATTTTGTGCTGCTCTAACATAGTATCTGACACTGGGTGATTTATAAAGAACAGAGATTTCTTTCTTACAGTGCTAATGGCTGAGAAGTCCAAAATCAAGTGTTCTGTATCTGTTGAGGCCTTTGTGCTGCATTGTCCCAAAATCTCTCTCCATAAGAAGGTGGAAGGGAAATAGAGGGTGAGAGGAAATTCAACAGGGGCCAAACTCATCCTTTTAGTCCCACAATAACAAATTCACTCCAGTAATGACATTAACCCATGCATAGCCTAGTCCCTTTTAAAGGGTTTCACCTCTTAACATTGTTGCATTAAGGATTGTTTCCAACACATGGGTTTGGGGGAACATATTCAAATTGTAGTTCCTTTCTTCTACTCTTACATAGAAATAAACATTTCTTGCATAGAAATAAAATGTACGTATAGTTGCAAATATATATCAGGCCACTTATGTCTTCCTTCTTTCACTGATATGAAATCCTAAATATTTCTCCACATTGCAGCAGGGCCTCAATCCTCTTCTCTTACAGGGCTCCCACAGTTCCACTGAACTGCTGTGCCCTGTGCACCAAGACCTTCCTCCCCCAGTGTTTGGTAGAGGGGCTTGAGAGTTTAGCTGTTGAGATAGTCCTGAAAATCAAGCACCTAGGTTTTTGTTTCAGTTGAATTTGTTCCTTCAGTTAACTTCCCAGAAGTCAAGATAGATATATTTTTAAAAAGATGTGACAATGTTTATCCCCTTCACCATATTTTCTGCCTCAAATCCTTCACATTTCTTTCTCTTTCATGGATGCCTGGAGCTCCAACAGTGAGTTGGAGCTTTCACTGGTCATGATCAAGTAATAAAACACAGATACCTGGTAGGTGCCAGACTCCACGCTGTGTGGTGTACAGATGCATGATACGTGCGCTCCTGCACCCACATTTTACTCCTCATAACAAATATACAAAGAGTTCTTATCCACTGAAGTTGAGAGGGCAAGGAGAATTCGCCCTGAGGTCTTTCTTGCTCCAGAGCTTTTGAAGCTGCCCCTCACTCCCACAGCCAGCCATGTGACGTGTTTGCATCCCCTATGTAGGATATGCATCATCTCCCCTTCCTAAGCATAAACCTGGTTCTGGGACCTGACCCTATTTTTTCGTAATTATAAAGGGCAAGGCTCAGCTGCTAAACAGACCTGAGAAGAAACAGGGGTGGAACAGTCATTAATTGAAGGATTGCCTGTGGCTCGCTAATTAATTTCAACCCAAGGGAGGCCTGTAGCAGAGAAGGCAGACTACAGATATGAGTGACAAAAAAATTCCAAAATAATCGTTACCAAAATAAGACATGCTTACACCTCTCTCACACTGCCCAAAGGCAACACATTGTACTAGTTAATTAAGAACTTGGATTCCAAACTTAGCAATAAACCTTATAAGCTGTATGACCTTGGGCTCTAGGATCTCTTGACCTCTGTTTTTCCATCTATGTAATAGAGTAAAAATAGGATCTTACTTAAAAGAATTTTGTGGAAATTAGCTACATGATTCCATGAAAAGTGCCTAGGGCAAAGCCTGGCACATAGTAAATGCACAATAAATATTAACTCTTATTGTCCTTAGTCTTGATCAGTTTAATATTTATATCACCAATATGAGTAAAGAAATGGAAGGAGTGGCCAAGACTACAGGCTATCTTCAAATATCCTCTCAGTTTTTGATGGTAGAAGTCACCTGATTTTTAAATGGATACATAGCCACACTGAACAAGTACTACATTTCCCTTGTAGCTAAGTTGTAACCATGCAACTCAGTTCTGATCAGTGGTATATAAGAGGAGATGACATGTGACTAACAGGAAATGTCTTTAAAGCCCTTTCCTGGATTTCCTCCTCCCTGCTGGCTGGGTTTCAGACCGGAGGGCTTGAGGTCCAGCAGCCATCCTGGATAAGGAAGTGACCTTGAAAACAGAAAACCCACATGATAGAGCAGCAAGATAGAAGGACACTGTGATACACTATATCAACTCTGGGCTGACCACCTTCAGACTACTTGAATAAACTTCTGTCTTATGGTAGCAGCTGTTATTTAGGATATATCCTGAATGGGTGAATAAAATCCTAACCAATACCAAAAGAATAACTTGCTTTTAAGGTGACTTAATGCTGACTATATAATTCATTGAATAACCGAGCTCAGGAGCAATAGACTAAATTTGATAGCAGTTAGGCAGTGGTAATGTAAGGCACTTCCCAGCATCCATAAAAGCAGCCTCTCAATGGCCAAATGAGATGAATGTGGCTTGGGGATCTTTTGAACAGAACAAGTCTTATTAAGGAGATGGCGGAATTTCTGTCATAGGGTAGGAGACAGTAATATGTGTCCCACTTCCTCTTACCCTTTCCCCAGAAGCATCTGACTTCAAGGCATACTTCATACAAATTGACAGTGGGCTGTTTCAGTTCAGGTGATTTTTAGCTCTGTTCCTAGCAGGGCATTCAGCAGGAGGAAGGAGATGACTCTGCCTTACTTTTTGTAGGTCAGTCAGCACCTGGAACATAAGAAGTGGGAGTGTTGTCAGAGAAAGCCTGGAAAAAACATCTATTTGGAAAAGAGACATCTTGGGATAGGCAAGAAATGATCCCTGATTTAAGTACCAAAAGGATGTCAGGGAAAAAGAGTTTCTATAATCACGTCCTGCGCCTGTAAAGGGCTCTAATGTTGCTAAGACAGATTTCTATTTCACTAGTCAACGAACATGGGTTAATCATCTGTAACTATCAGACTGTGGCTGCTAACTGCCCTACCCAATATTGCTTCTGCCCTTCTTCCTCCTGAACATAATTCAGATATCATTCTGATTAGTAAAGTGCCCAACTGAAATACCTTCCCACAGTACCCTGAGGCTTGAGGTAGCCATGTGACATAGTGCTGGCCAATGAGATGTAAGCTGAAGTACAATGGGGGTCTCCTAACTAGAATGCAGATGTCATATTGCAGGAGCACCAATAATCTTACCAACAAGAACAAGAGCCAGACACCGAAGATGGCACAACTAGAAGACAGAAGGAGCGGGACAACTTTGCTCTCTGGACTTGAGCTTGCTGCCTTCTGGACTTGTTATGTGGGAGAGTAAATCCCTTCCTTGTTTAACCACCGTAGCAAGATTTCACTTAAAGGCAGATGACCCTCAGTTCTAACCCAGACATTAGGCTTAAGTCCTCGGGGTCGATAGTGTTTCTGATGGAGGCTTTCCCTGCTTATTAGACAGAACGTGAAGAAAACTTCCTCAAAACTGGAAGAGTTGCAAGATGGACTTAGTTCCAGGGGAGTGAGTGACCTCTGACCACAGAGGAAGGAGTACAGGGACTGGCAGGCACTGTCGCAGCTGGGATGGTGTGAAGCAGGACTGAGCAGAGTGACAGGCTTTGTTCAGTGATCTTTTCTTTAAAGTCTTTTCTAATGCAAAAAAAAAAAAAAAAAAATTATAATGATCAGAAAGTTAAAAAAAAAAAGACAAAGTAGGTGGACACAGGGGATACCAAATTTGGTTCACTGGCCATAGAGTGGTGTTGGTGGTATTTGCATTGAGATGCATGATTTTGTTACAATTTCTAAAAATGCATTTTCCCTCAACCAACCCTCCCCCCATAACTAAATTGTGGCAATTTTAAGTTCCTAATGGAATTTTTGTTTGTATTTCATCTGTAGTCATGTAATTTATCCTACTTTTTTTACTACTAGGATTTTTTTTTTATCTTAGATTCATAAAAGTAACATGGCAGTAAAACATAGCAGTGTTTTGATTCTCAGATACTAATAGATTTATTATTGTTTTGTGTGTTTACAGCCATAATAATAAGGCACATTTTCCCAACTGTGTTATTAAAATGCTAGTATCCTATAAACTAAATACTAGGGATTGATTTATTGGTGAAAATTCTGTAAATATATGAATACTTTTAATGGGAAAATGAGATTATTTTCCTCTCATGCTGGAAACCATATTCTTTGATGGGGTAGATATAAGAAAGTTTGAACTTTACTGGATTCCATGACGGATCCCTGATGGTAATCTCAAACTTGAGACAGCAAGGATGAGCTGTGTGACCTTGTGGAAGTGTCCAATGGTGACTGGTAAGATGTAAAGGCTCAACAGATGTCTGTTGAATGAATGAACAATGATTCTCTTTGCAGCCTGGTTATCTCTGTGTCAAGGCTATTAGATGACAATAAATACTGTGCATAGGGAACCAATTAGGGTTTCTGAAAGTGCTTCACAATAGAGGATTCAGGGAGGGTGAAGGGTGATACTTAAAATGGAAATTACACAGAGCCTCACTCCATGCTTATTAAAATCAGAATCTTTTCAGTTAGGGCGCAGGCTCTGCATTTTCACATACACCTCCATCCCAGAGGCTTCTCCTGTATAATAAACCTTGAGCACTCTGGACATGCATGCTAGTTATTGCCAGGGAAGCTTTTGCAAACTGACTGGAAGAAGACTACCACTGGAGAAGGATTTTTCTTTGATCCTTGAGTTGGCAGTCGTAGCAAATGTGCTTGTCTCCGGCGACACCTGCTGGTTGAGAGCAATAATTAGCAAACAGTCCTTGAAACTACCCAAGTATTTTCTCTTTTGGGACCTGCAATACTCGGGATAGGATGAAGCATTTTAGTGTTTGAATTCTAACAGTGATAATCAATATATCCAAATATCCTGATATCTGGGGGAAGGTAGGTTTAGGTTTGTATCTCCTTTTTATAGCTTTCAAGTAGAATCAATGTCTAGTAGAAGAATATTGCCCTTCAATCACCTTACATGTTTTTAGAACAAATGTTTCTGTGTCATGCTTATTCGAAAAACTACCAACTTTTGGAATTCCACTGAAAGTATATTCTGAAATTTTCAACTAGGGAATTTATTCCTTGTATTTATGTTAGGGAGATAGTTTAAGAAGTCAATTCTTATCTCTCGTTGAAGATTCCAAACAAGATAAAGAAAAAAATTTCCATGGTATGGTAGCCATGGAAGTGTGTTTGGTGGGTCACACACGACATTGGGGAAGGTGGTGACACTTCATCCTGTTTGGAGAGAGTGGGGTCAAGGAACAAGATGGGGCAACAGATGTTACCAGGTAAGACGTTCCCAGAAGAAAGACACTCTCTGTATTAAGGAGAGGTGTGAAATAGCATTTGTGGTACATCCAGTTGGAAAGGGATCACCTCCCAATCATTTGCTCTTATGAAGTATAGGGCTGACAGGTGAGGCTAGGGAGTCAGGCCAAGCCTCACCCGCCTACCAGGAAGATTCTATTTTATCCTATGGGTGGTGAGTAACCTCAGAAGAGTTTAAATTTAAGATTTGCTTTTTACTGAATTGTTGATCCCATTGGAAATATCAATGCCCAAAGTATACCCCCCCTCATTTATCTGACAGTGATCAAATCCAAGTGGGTTAGAATTCCTGACTAATACTGGGTCTGTTAGTTAAATATTTTATGCAGATTCAACACAAAAATCACTAGTCCATTTGTCAAGTCCCTTAGCATTCTGGAAATTAGATTTGAACTGTGTGCTGGAACAGGGGGTTCTTTTATGTAGATATTTGACAGAGATGGATGTCTGTGCCTTTTATCTTAGAGGTTCTGCCTCCTCTCCTCGTCTTAGCACTGCTACACAAAGCATTCCCATCACACAGACCCTAGGAAAACTGATGTCCTTATTGGATCCAAGAATTTATTCAGAAACTGAGGTATAAAATAGACAAACTCGTAATTTTCTGCATAATTTTGCACCCTTTAAAAATAAGTGATAATGCTGGGTACAGTGGTGCATGCCTGTGATCCCAGCGGCTCAGGAGGCTGAGACAGGAGGACTGTGAGTTCAAAACCAGCCTCAGCAAAATCGAGGCCCTAAGCAACTTAGTGAGACCCTGTCTCTAAATAAAATACAAAATATGGCTAGGGATATGGCTCAGTGGTCGAATGCCCCTGAGTTCAATCCTTATTGTTTTCCACAGCAGAGTGAACTGCTCACTTTGTGATCATACACACTCTCAAGACCTGCCCTCATACAGGATAGCTAAGTGGTCCCTTTGTCTCTCTCTCCTGCTTAGTCTTCAGCCATACCATGCATATCCTGGTCTAGTAGGAAAAGCATGGGATTCGGAATCTGATGGACATGAATTTGGATCTTGCCTGCCCCATTATGTTGACAAGTCACTTCTCTCTTTCTTTACCTGGCAAAAGGAACTAATGATACCTTCTCTTGAGGATTGAATGAGAAAAATGTGTGTGAAATCCTGACACCAGTGCCCAACATGCATAGTCCTCAAAAAAGGTTAGTTCCTTTCTCTTCTTTTTCTGTTCTTCCCTTGATGCCAGTGAGTCATCAAAAGACCCAGAAACACACAGGCTCAGACTGCAACAGTGATAAGTGGTCACTAGTTCATGCTGTTCTGTGCTGTCCTGTGGAGCTTACTCCTAGAACAGGTTAATTAAATAAAAGCACTCTTCTTACTTACAGAATTTGTCTCCCAACCCCTCTGTAAAGATTTTGAGCTCTTTCAGGTATGGAACCTGACAGTCATTAACCAATCTGTCCCCCACCCCACCCCACACAAGAGGACTGTCAATATTTGCTCACCAGATGTGAGCCTCAACGCTGATGTGATCCCCAAAGCCAGGATTTCCTGGCCTATGGGCTGGGCTGTCCTATCTGCGCAGATAAGCAGCTTCTGCCTGACTGGCCCAGCCCCAAATCAGGAGAGGGCCTCAGCCACTCCTGCCAAGGTCTGACTTTCTTATTGGCAGATATTGCCTAACAGAATGTGGCTTCTTGCTCATTAGCTAAGTCAGCAGCCTAAAGGACATTACTCTCAAAGGTTTGGTCCAAAGTTAATCTTTGACTTAGAGGGATAACACTTGGAGGAACAGTCCACTTTGCACATGGTCTATTTATCTACTCTTAATAGCCTGGAAATGCCAAAATGTTGGCAAACTGTGACTGAAAAAAAAAAAAAACTTTGGCAGTAAACATGACAATGAAAATAGAGCCAAGCAACAAAAGACTAAACACAAAAGAAAAAGATTTACAAGCTGAAGAACCCTAGTGTTAGCACAGACATGCAGTAGGAAGCTAGGCAAAGCTTTAGTATTTCTGAATAGCAGTACCCAAATAGAAGTACCTGCCCACGGGCGGCTGCAAGACAAAGCTGGTGCCTGATATGGGAGGGAAAAATGATCATCCTGAAATATTTCCCTGCTTTGTTTGTACTCAGAGAATTTAAAAGTATGTCCAAAGTAATTTTTATTTTAGTGTTTCAATAAGCTTCCCAGGGTGGGAAAGGGATTGTGCCTTCATTGTAATTTTTACAAAGAGAATATCTTGCAGGAAATACACATCAGGAGAAAAAGCCTTGGGGTAGATCACATGTCTCAGTCTGGGATTTAGAAGGATTGAACATCTTGCACTCTGGGAAGCTTCTCGTTTGCTTTGGAACACATGACTTACAGGTCATGTGTTCCAAATTTGCATAATGTTCTAAAGACTTACTATAAAATGGTACTCTCTAAATCAAAATGGTTTGGGGCAAAGCCTAATCTCAGTGTCCTATTTGTAGTATGCCCAAAAGTAAACATTTTATTTCTTTTAAACTCTTAGAGTGACATCACCAACCTGAATGAAGAAAAAAATTCAATTTTTTAAAAATTTTGGCCTGATATTCAATGCCAAACCAGTTTATGGGTCAGATATCCAAGTTACCCAAATTCAAAACTTCAGTCTGATGCAGCCCTTTCTTTTCCCCAGTCGTCTCCCAGCCCCAATAAGGAGCAAAGGTAGATTTATGTCAAGCCTTGTATAAGATATGGTAGGTACTTAACAAAAGTTTGATTTTGAATGGTCAAAGAAAACATGGGATAGAAGGGAAGTGGGAGCGATGGAGAGTTTGAACTCAAATATTCAAATCTATCCCAATATTAGCATTAGCTTAATGTTAACAGCTCCTTTAAAAGTCATTTGGTGGGCTAGGGTTGTTGCTCAATGGTAGGAGTGCTTGCCTGGCATGTAGGAGGCACTGGGTTTGATTCTTAGCACTGCATATAAATAAAGAAAATAAAGGCCGTTTGACAACTAGAAAATATAAATACTTTTTAAAAAAAAAAAAGTCATTTGGCACTCCTGTTCTTTACCCAGAAACTGTTTAGAAATTAGTGATGTGATTTTGCTACAAATCAGAGTATTTTTCCTAGTTAAACAACCCAAGTGTCCAAGAATAGGAAACTGGATGAATAAGTTGTGTTCCATCTACACCAGCTTTTTCCATCTCAGCAGATAGTACCACTGTTGAACAAACTGCTCAAACTGGAAACCTAGATTTATTCTTAAATTTATCCCTGTCTTTTTCAACATGTCATTCCAAGTCTTATCATTCTCCAAAGTATACAGGAAGATACAGATGTATTAAAGTGGGCATTAAATGCCACCAAGCCTAAAAGACCACATATAAAGAAGGTATTACTAATTGTAAGGGTTCGCTTACTGGGGATACAGAAGGAAACACGTTGTCCAAGTAGCCAGGTAAGTGAGAGTTGACTCCACCAAATTCATGGTAGGTTAAATTGAACTGAGAGCCATAGAGAAACATGGACCAGGAGGAAAAAGAAAACAATGATATCGGTTCACATATATTCAACATATGTGCAATACTGCATGGATGACTTAAGATTATTTTTCACATTTAATGTTAATGAGCTGCAATCAGTGCCCACCTCTAGATCCTGAACAGTAGGATCCCTGCTCTTGTCCTCTTCTTTCCAATCTCCTTCCATGGGCAAGAAGAGATATCTTGAGAATGGGACCCAAGTCTAAATATAAAATTCATTTATGAATTATACACATAGCTAATTATACACATGGGGTTAGGGAATGTGCCCACATTCCAAGATCACATTCAAGAAGCCCGGGATCCTAGAATTTCCCTCTCCCCCAGACAAGGCATGATTGGGTCTCTTAGGAACTTCCTCCTGAGCGGATTCTAGCTGTGGCTATGGTAGGTGATGTGGATAAAGCATGGATCTGAGGGCTCAGGTGTCCACAAGTGAGACCCCTCACCGTGTGGGCTAGAGCAAGGGGTGAGGAGAGAATAGGAGTGGGTTCTTCTATTTTTCCTCTTATCTCAGAGCCCATAAATATTAGCAGCAATCTTGATGCAGTGTCCACTGCTAACTATTAGGACTAACCAACTTCCCCCACTCCAATGTAAGATACCACTCCTTTATATCTTGAGTTATCCATTATGTCTACCCTGATTCATTCCCCCATCATCTCATTTGGATTATTGCAGTATTCACCTAACTAGTCTCCCCACCACCACCACTCTTGCCTCTCACTCCATTCTCCAACACATAATAGGTGAGTGAGCTTTTTAAACCATCATTCATTATGTTACTCCCACAGATTAAAATATAATACACCTTACGAGAGCACAGAAGGCCTTCAGCTTCACCTCTCCCAACCTCACCATGGTAGCCACAGTAACCATCTTTTAGTTTCAATACTAAGAATTTTTCTACCTGAGGTCTTTCAAATATGCTGCATCCTCTGTCTAGAATGTTCTTCCAGTTCTTCATTCTTGAAGTCCAGATTTCCTCTTTTCCCTCAGACCTTCTGCAACCAACTTGTATATCCCTGTTATTTTCTCTCATAGTATCCTGTTTTCTTCATGGTGTTTAATAGAAATTTATGCTTATGTATTTTTCCCTGTTTATTTATATAATGCCTATTTCCCCCATCATATTGTAAACACCATGTTCAACAATGAATAAATCAGAGCTTAGTACTGTGCACTGCATCATTTTTGTGTGTGTATTAACTAATCTAGATAACAAGTACTGGAGCTGGGGATGTAGCTCAGTGGTAGAGTGATCACCTAACACTCAAAGCCCTGGGTTCAACCCCCAGTAGTGAAAGAAAATATTCAATCTATATAATGAAATATGATTTAGTCAATAAATAATGCTTTCAATTATCATAACTGACAAAAAGTTATATGTGATATAATTTCAAGTGAAAAGGCATGTTCTAGTAATATAATCCAACTTTTGTTTTAAAATGTCAATATAAACTAGGTATGGTGGTGCACACCTATAATCCCAGATACTTGGGAGACTGAGGCAAGAGGATCACAAGTTCAAGACCAGCCTGGGCAACTTAGTGAGAACCTGTTTCAAAATAAAATAAAAAGGGCAGAGGGTGTAGCTCTGTGGTGGAGCACTTGCCTAGCATGTAGAAGGCCCTTGGTTCAATCCCCAGTACAAAACAAAGTCAACGTATACTCTCTATGTTGTAAAATATCTTCAGGGTGTTAAAGTAGTTATCTGGGTTGGGAAACTGTGACTGTAGTTTGTTTTCTTATTTTTGCTTATCTTTTAAAATACTAATAACACATTACTTTTGTAATCACACATTTTAATTTTAAAACTAAGTAGATTAATATCTACCTAAACAATAACTATCAAAATAGGCTCCTTTTTGTTGGAAGCAGTCTAGATGTCCAACATTAAGGGACTATTGAGTCAAGGTCTGGCACATCCATTCGATACAGTGTCGTACAGTCATTAAAAATCACTATGAAGAGTGCAATAGCATGAAAAATTCTAACAATATTATATTAACTTAAAAATAAAATGGGATGAAATAAAAATAATTTTCAAATGATGTTATTGCAATGATAGGATTATGGCAATTATCTTTGTTTGCCAACTTCCTGTAAAACCACTTTCTATAATGAAAGAAAATTACTTTAAAAATGAATATGGGGGCTGGGGATGTGGCTCAAGTGGTAGCACGCTCGCCTGGCATGCGTGCGGCCCGGGTTTGATCCTCAGCACCACATACAAAACAAACATGTTGTGTCCGGCGATAACTAAAAAATAAATATTAAAATTCTCTCTCTCTCTCCCCTCTCTCACTGTCAAAAAAAAATGAATATGGGCTTGATCGATTTACATATGATCTTGCTGTATTAAATACTATTTTTTAACATGAATATTTGTATAATTTAGCCTTTCTATATATTTTGCTTCAAAATAAAATCTCCGTGGGATATGTAATGTGTCACTAATTCCACAAGGTGGCAATGTGAGAGTTACTAAACATCTTTGGACAATTTGCTGGTGTTACCCAGTGCATTGCATTATTCCTAACAGTGTTTGGTTTTTGGTTTGATCTTTGGTATAAGTTGACACTGGCACTCACTTTAGGTTACAAGAATGTAACATATTTTATAGCTCTTGTTTTGACATTACTTAAAAATAATCCCCCTGACCACACATTTTCAGTTCCTCACTACTTCTTTGCTTCTTAAATCTTTTTCCACTTTAAAAACTAACAATAATCAAATAATACCAACTGCTGTTTCTTGAATGCCTTTTAACAGTGAGTCATCATGCAGAGTTTTTTGTATACATTACATCATGTACTCTTGCAGATCAGGTATTACTCTTTCCATTTTGTGGATGAGAAAAGAGGCTAGAGAAGATTGGTAATTTGTCAAAGTCATATTTATTATCTGCCACAGCCCAATTCAAACTCAATCTTCTTACACGAATTATTATATGGATAGATTAAAAAGTAAGTAAAGAAATGAATAAGTAAATAAAATGACTATACATAAATAAATGTACCGTGCATGTTTGAGTTTGTCAGGATGAACCCAATTAATGTGTATAACCATAAAGATCTAATATAAATAAATAAATGGATGGATGGATTTAGAAAATCACTTAGCTCATTATGGATAATAAAAATTACCAATCACAACACTAAAGTTAAAAATACAACCAAGGCAGATGTGGTGACAAACACCTATAATCCCAGTGGCTCATGAGGCTGAGGCAGGAGAAATGCAAACTCAAAGCCAGCCTTAGCAATTGAGCAAAACCCTTAGCAATTTAGCAAGACCCTGTCTCGAAAGAAAGAAAGAATGAGAGAGACAGAGAGAGAAAGAAAGAAACTATAGCCCAAAATATACATGTAAAAAAATAGTCATATTCTTTTTTTAATTTTTTTAGCTGTAGTTGGACACAGTACCTTTATTTCATTTATTGATTTTTATGTGATGCTAAGGATCGAACCCAATGCCTCGCACATGCTAGGCAAGCGCCCTACCAATGAGCTATAACCCCAGCCCCCCCAAAATAGTCGTATTCTTATAATCGCCAAATAATAACTATTTTCATGCTCTGTCATAATTTCTTCATATGTGTATCTGCCTAGTATATCTTGCTTAATTCAGGTAATGCTAAACATAAAAAGTTAGAGGAAATAAAATATATTAACAATTTTCAATCTTCTGTTTCCTTAATAAATCTAATATGTGAGAGATTCCTCGTGTTTTTATTAAGAGTTCTTTGAAAGCAGGACTCATAGATTTATAATATTTTTCATTAAAATGTTCTTTATTTTATTCAATCATTCTCCTATAATTGAATTTAGCAATTTTCTCAAAAAATTAAGGGGTTGTTGATATTGCTACAGTGATTATCCTTGTGTAGAAATCTTTGTTTATCTCAGCACCTCTTTTTGTTAAGTGTACGTTCCTGGAATCTCAATGACTTATTGGGTAAAAAGAAATTGACTTTTAGGGGCTGGGGCTGGGGCTGGGGCTGAGCGGTAGAGCACTTGCCTGGCATGTGTGAGGCACTGGGTTTGATTCTTAGCACCACATATAAATAAATAAAATAAAGGTCTATCAACAACTAAAAAATATTTAAAAAAAAAAAAAAGAAAAAAAGAAATTGACTTTTAGATGATACTTATTTTTGTTATAATTTTTTTATTAGTTACACATGACAGTACAATGATCTTGACAATTCATACATTTGAATCAAATGGGGTATAATTTCACGTTTTTCTGATTGTACAGGTTGCAGAATCACATTGGTCATACAGTCACCTATATACATACAGCAATAATAATGTCTATTTTATTCTGCTGCCCTTCCTATTGTTATAATTTTTAACATGATTATTAATACAAGTTCATTTTTAAAAACATAACGAACCCTCCTTTTCCTACTCCAAAATCCTTCCTTAACCCTCAAATCAGTAAAATACTCACCTATATTTTCTCCTATTTTAAATTTTTTTCTTCTCTTTATTTATTTATTTTGGGGGTGCTGGGTCTTGGACTCGGCTTCATACACTAGGCGAGCCACTCTACCATTGAGCTGTATCTTCAGCTCAGCAAAGTTTCTCTTTTTTAAAAATAAGGTAAGAATTTATATTGTATTTTTAATAGTTTCGTTTCCCTTACTTTCACTTTCCTTATGTGTTATTAGCTGGAAATAATTCATCATATGATGAGGAGTGAGGCCTAGTTATTAAGTAATTTTATCCCTTCCTCTGTTGATTTGTGGAGATGTTTTATCATGTGGTATAGATTCTTAATATTCCAAGAAGCCTACCAATTAAGAGTTGGGGCTTTGTGATTGGCCACATCTGGGTTCAGATCCTGGCACTACTATTTTTTTTCTGGTTGTGAGCAAGTTACTCAGTCCATTTCATCCTCAGTTTTTCCACCTATAAAAGGGTGATTTTAGGGACGGTTCCATTGAAGGATGCATGTGGGGCAGTTAGCAAGGAGTGAGCTGCCCAGGAAACATCACATTGAGTATGCATCAGCTGCTATGACAGTGACTATGATATTAATAAAGTTATTCCATAACTTTAACAAATGGTGTAGAAAGCATTCACTTCAAATCTTTAGTGAATTACTTGGGAATATAATTGAAAACTAAAACAAAGCTGCATTCACACCTCCACAGTGTGGACCTTCGATTGGTGCACTCACAGCTGAGTTATA